TTACAACTAACCAAGCTTTTCATTACAATGATCTTTTCAGCTGTATAGTTTGTGTAGCTGAACGTTTCATTGTAGCTGTAATTACTGTATAAGGCAATAAAATCAGAAAGCCAGAAGTGCAACAAACTCATACACCAACCTCACAAAAGCTTTCAGTTAAATATCACAATTATGTTGTTCAATAGTTAACGATCTTCAATATTAAAGTCTTAAACTTTACAAAACTGACTGAAGTGATAAAGTCTGGTTTAATTATGAACCACATCTTTATTGATACTAGCACTTTGACTTTGCCTTTAAAACCAAAAGGAAAGTGACCTCATTCTTATTTTATATAAAAAAGTTTATTTGTTCGAGAAAAGAATGACAGGATGTTTGCTAATTTTGAATTCTGATTTGTACATGTGCTATACAGTGCAGAAAGAGTTTCAAACCCTTTAATGGACAATCGTTTTACTCTGCTTCACCCTCAAATCCCTGCGACACATTAAAAGACCTATAAAAACACTTGCAGTGACACTTCACTGTCTTTTCCACTGAAACCAAGGACAAAAGGAATTCTTCAGTCAATTTTCATCTTCACCACATATGTGTGCAATGCGGGGGAGGAGAGCGAGATGGATTTTCACCAGCTTTACCAGACCACTTCCATCAATACATTTCATGAACATGGGAAAGACAAGGGAGGGATAAACACTTCAACAGTAATCTATAATCTTGCCCATACTGATCCAATGCTTCAGAATAGTAACTTTGTACTCACAGTACCAACCTGAGGCTCGATAAGATCACACAGCATTGTGGGTAATAGATTTTGCATGTACAAGGATCTTACAGAGGTCATGTAGTTCATTTAAGTGCATGTAACTTAACAGGTCCATTCATATAAATTAAAGAACTGGTTGACATTTAAGGTTTCTCTTTTTTTTTTTACAAGCAGTACAAAGGTCACAGCCTGTATAATTACAAACTTAACAACAAAAATATATGTGTAATCATGAAAATGGACTCGAAAGAGGAAAGAGGCTCCTTTAGCACTGATCCAGAACCAGAGGATGCCACAAAAGCACCAGAGAAATTGACCGACTTCACAGCCAATCAGATTTGTCTGTTTTGTTTTCCCACATCAGGAGACTTTAAGACGAACAAACTCACTCTGAAGTGAAAAAAGAAAGGGCATTAGATGAAAATCAAGAAACGTAAATAACAAATAGACTTAAATATTACCAAAAATGTAAACACAAACAAATCTTTACAAAAACAAAACTAATATTCACACATTAACTGAAGAGAGAGAAAAAAAAAA